GCTGACATGCAGGCTTTCGAATCCCGATTGGGTATGATATGTCATATGAAATGTTGTTGGAGAACGAGGCTAACAGGTAAATACATTAAAAAAGAAAAGGAAAAAAAGGCGAGCTAAAATTTAATGTAGGTACATTATGCTAAGATGTATGCTGATATGTCCCAGATCTGACTGAAACAAAAAAAGGAGCTTATGCTCTGCAGCACTCTTTTTCTGTTCGACGTCTCCGCGGTGGCGACGACTGTGCGTAGGTATTGTATTGTCCAATCTTGACCGTACCCATAGCTATCCTTGAACTGGAGCCGAATAGACGGGCACTCCGTGCGTCAAGATCGTCCCATCAACGGCACTCCACGCTTCGGGGGACCCTTTGATGATATTGTTACTTTGAAGAATTGCGAAGCCGTAAATAGAAAGTCCGCTTAACGCTTCTAGGGGAATAATCTAGAAAAATCATACTACATGGCTATACGATTTTTTTTCATTGCTGGCGAAGACGGTGAGAGAAGAACAGGCGGCGATGGAACCATTTACAGAAGGTTCAAGGAAACTTTCAGGTACGACGGGGGACAGCCCATAAGAGGTAGCTGGGTATGTATTGTTCATGTACAAAGCTGGATAGCTCTCCACAGCAAATCCACCAATGGATTGCGCTCCGGACCGGTCGGTGGGACTTGGATGGCACATACCTATGGCACATATGTATATACATACATATATACATACATACATATGTAGTAGCCTACCGAATCTTGAGACCCATAACGCGCGACGGATTCTGGCGTCCCTGACAAATCTCCTTTGACTCCGGACTGGACTATTTAAAACAATGCCTTTCCCAACGTGCAATGACCAATTCATGAGAACCGGACATGATAGGAGAAGGATATTCGCCAATACACCAATACGCTAATACTACTATTAGTTACAACTAATAAGATCAATATATGCGAAATTCCAAGCTCAGATCTAAGACGCAAGCGAGCCATATACATATGTACATATGGTATGGTATTGGGTATGGTCTTGGCTAGCTAGTACCTTTTTTAATGGTCCCCGTTTTATCAATCTGGTAATGGTATATTATCGGCGAGACCAAAAAGGGATGGTTCAAGCGAACATCTACGGTAGTACATTGCATATACCATACTATGGTACTATGGTATTATGGTACTATGGTATGACACTAGTAGAAAGTCTGTCAGTTAGTCAGTCAGTCATCGTCAGCCGTGATAACGCTGAGAATTAGAGTTCTCAGCAGCAAACTCGCATCATCTTGAGTTCGAAAGCGGTCAGTGGGTAAGCACGCAACCTGGGACTCGGATAAAACGCAAAGTTATACGGCTTGGCCTCGCCGATTTACTTCGCAAATTCCCTAAGCTTTTCCAGAGGCTAGCTGAGAGGCGTTGCGCCCTGACATCATTCAGCTGACATGAGTGCTTGATGGAGGGGGAGGATCGACCATATACGTTAGTAACTATTACTAGATATTACAGAAATTAGAAATTCTCATATTTATTTTATTACAATGATTATTGACTATTACGACAAGTCTATAACTCTTAAGAGCACGGTGCGATAGAAGCTACGTGCTATGTGTTACGACCTACGGCTCTCTCTCCCTCGCTAGACACCTGCTGCAGGTCATCCACGCGAGAATCTGCACGGGCTAGAAGCGCCACGAGGGGCCGACGACCGAGAGGAATTGGAAATTCCGGCTGGGTAGGTAACATGGACGTGGCGTTCTGCCCCACACATCCTTTTTCTGCTGCGTACTTTACAACAGACGTGACTATGTATGTACACTAGGACTGACCTGACTTGACTGACTGTCCTTTCAGCTGCTTTTCTTGGGCCATACGTTATACGCTATATGCTATACATTATACACTACCTATACACTACGCAAGCACATCGCGGCGTCCGCGGTTGACATATATGGTTGACTTAACTAACATACATAGAGTAAAACACACACATACACATACACTACCCAGTTACACATGATAGTATTTTGTATAGACTCAATCACTGCATTCCACGTTATCCAGGAGCCTTTGCTTTGTTATACACATCATCCGGGGAAAAGCAACCATGTCGTCACTAGTCATCAATATACTAAACTACAAGCCATCTATCTCACAGTGTCCGTCCGAAGAGGGCTAGTCGTTGCGTTGCATCGCAACAAACATCTGCGCTGGGAGGGATGGGTAGGGATGGTAGGGGGAGGGATTTGCCTGCCAGTTCACCTACGCACACACATACACATATCCTTGCCGTACGTCCAATTCGTCTACGTATCGTACGGGGTCCTCAGACAGGCATATTTGTTAGACTTGTTAGATTTCAAGTTCATTAACTAAGCCTTTTCGTAAGTCCCTCGCCTCGTACGCGCGAGGATTAAGGGTCCGAAGCCCGAGAAATCGGGATGGGGATGCTGGGCTGTCAGTCAAACTTGTCAAGGTTGGGTGCTGAGATAATTGTTGGTACGGCACGGCTTGGTATTCCCCTCGTCGTGCCCAATTCAAATTCCCTCGTCAGTACATGATGAGTTAGTTGTCCTTCCGAACGCTCGGTAAACTTGGGAAACTTAGGATAGAAGACCCGTCTCTATTCGGTCGACGCTTGGCTCTTAGTCGGGTAAGAAAGCGGACCTAAGTACGGATTACATATAGGCTATTACATATGTGGCTAAGTTAGCACCTATCGAAAAGTCCAGTCCATAATATCTAGATTAGCAGCTTGGGGTTTCCGGGTCTTGGGTTACTGCTAGTTACTACTAGTTAGTGCAATGCATCTCCAGGACAACCTGCTCAGTGCTTCCCTTCGCGCCGAATTTGAGTCAGTTAGTGACGAGTTATAGCTTCAAAAATATATTACTAGGATTTCTCGTCCTAATGCTTTGTACCTAGCAAGCATGCACATTGCAAGCAAGCATTTCGTTTCGACGGCACTAGTTAGATAGATAAAGCTGCCCGAGCTTCCCGCCCGCGGGCCAAGCAATACATACATACATACATGCATATACCAAGCATAATACATAAAAGGGATGGGATGTCACAGGTGCTACACCCATTCGACTGTCGCGGAGTGACGGGTACCTAAGTAGGTAGATTAAAAACGAGCTGTGATTGGACGCATCAAGGTAAGTGGAAGAAAGCGGGCTGGCGTGTTGCGGGAATGCAAGCACTCGTCGAAGATTGTCCGAATGCCCCACCGTCGCATCCTCGATCCAACCCACTAGACCCGATAACTCCAGATGGGACACTCCAGGGCTGGCACTTATGCAACTTGTGGGACTATGGGATTTTCCGACTTGAGGCCATTGGTATGAACGAGTGGGTGTTGTTGGGAATAAGTAACTTACGTACGAAGTAGATTAGGTAAATGCTAACATATGAGGTATGTATGTAGGTAGTCGACGGACCGGGTTATTAGTATGTATTGCTCCAGCAGCCAGCCAGCCATTCGTTCAGCCATTCGTCCACGCCATTGCAACTTTATCTAATAGTTATACGCAGTTTGTTTTAGTAACGAAGTTTGTTGCGATCTGTTGGCTTCGCCTATGCTCACTCAGCTTCGAATGACGTTTGCTTTCTCTTTTACTTTCTCTAAAACAACCCTCTCCATGATAAAATAAAATTGGAGGAAGGATGAATTAATTATAGTTATAGGTATTAGTTATAACATCTAAATAGTGCAATCGTATACCTAGAGGCTAGTGTAGAGAGCAAGTCATCTAAGCCTATTTAGGTAACTACTGGTTACAGTACGCCCCCTGTAATAATGTTATTCAGCGGAACCTTAGAACTACTTCGCTAAGATCTTGAAGCGTATACCTATTGCCGCCCTAGGAGGTTGTTATAGTTTTCTAAAAACGTTGTTTCGGAGTATTTAATGTTATAAAATACTGGTATAATAGTTAAAATGCTTTGAAAGGCGTTGCTCTATTTAGAATTCGAAGCCCTGTTCTGTATCGTGCACGTCCGAAAAACTAACATTATTTCAGGGGGTGAACTGCAGTTAGTTATTTTCTATTAAAGTCCAGTCTCTCCGAACGATGCACGCGCTTGTTCCGGTGTTAGCCCGCATTTCTCCAGCAAGGTCTCTTGTTACATCAAAACACCCCCGTACCTAGACCGGTGGGCGACCACGGATGGGCGGACGGAGGGGGAAAAGGGTGGCTGGTGATTCGTTACATACATATTTAATACATTGGACTTGACCGCATCTGCGTACACTACATACATTGATGTAGGTACATGGTCGTATGAGCTATCTTCATGGGGTGAGGGTCAGGATAGTGGTAGATAGGCTTCGGTAGTGCGACACCGGGGAAAATGCGGTTCCTTTTCCTTTTCCTTTCCCACGGTATAGTACATAAATGCAAATGCAGGTGTGTGTCTTGTGTGTGTACGCGTGCGTGTATATGTGTGTGCGTATTTGTACCACACCTTAATTAGTAACCACGGAGGTAGTTATATGTATAACTTATAAGTCATCACCTACTCGAACCAAACAGAACATCGTAATATATTGCTTACGTAGTTCTCAAGACCCTAGTCCAGGCTCGAAAAGCTTCTCGCCCATGTGACCACATTTCCAATGTACGAAGTTGTGTACCGGTGTCTAGGTAGGTAGGTGAATCGTGATTGAATACCGTACGATATTGTCATCAGTAGACACTTGAAGTGTATAGCATGCAAATATAATTCAACGACTCGCATGATCTATCGAATTCAAGGTGGATCTAAATGTGGACATATTATGATCAAATTGTCTTATCTATTACCTACCTCGGCAGCTTTATATGACAATAATATCTTAGAGTCGCGAGCTACTAAAATTGAGTGATAGGAAATCCTCGAGGCTAATAATATCCTCTGTTCTTATTTAAATATTAGGTTACTAAAGCTAGACCCTTCTTGTAGAAGTGGCCGGTGGATGAAATAAAAAAAAACATATAGAGAGAGGGTTGAATTGAACCAGCAGCTAGATTTCGGAAAGACAGCTTGCGGAGCCGAATTGCGGAGTGCGGAACCGACGTGCCGCTTGAAGAGTATACTATATCGCTTGAAACATTCAAATTACGAGTAGAACCTGAATTCTAGTGCTTGATATCACGGGCGTATTCTCTCAAGTTTCTTGGCTGAGTATCTCCGAGTATATCGAGAACGCTATTTGAGCTGTAGCATGCTTGACATCACACGTTCTGTATTTTGCATATTCATATTATTTTCTCTATGAACAACGGTATTTTTCGTATGACGATATACAGTGACCCATATCGATGCAGCGATCAATCTACCATAATTAGGGTATGTATTACCATCAAATTTGTGCCCCTGGGAAACGTCTTCTTCGCAAGTAAAACAAACGCGAAACGCCCGCGCCACCAAGAGACTAAACTCTAGGAAGAGCTAGTAGCTTAAACTACAAGCCGCTACTCTACTGCGTCTTGAAGAGCAGGATGGCGCAGTGCCCTAGGTAGAAGTAGATGAAGTGCTTCGTTTCTAACATCGTGTTAGCTCGGACACCAACTTATTTCTGTCGCCGTGCATTGGAAATAAAGGGAGGTATACCGTGAGTGACAAAGCTTCCGAAGTTCCTTCCTACGATGCAGTGCCAGGTCGGACCCTTTCGCTCGTCAAACTAGCAAGCTAAGTTTAGCATTCCCAATGAAAAGAATCGTCGGTAAGTATATCGTATGGATAGACGTACGGTACGCTTGATGTGCTGTGCAATATCCTTTTCGATGGTGTATTTGCCCATAGCTTCCTGAGCTACTCTTGACGTCAGATCATGTATATCCATAACCCCCTAAACGAAGACACATACCGACGTCGATTGCTTCTTGCTGCATGTCTTCCGTCTGGGGTTCCGTGTTAGTTCATTCCAAAGCCTTATTCATCGCTGGGGAAGTTCTAACCATATCTGCAGACTTGATTTGGGCTGTAGGGCGAGATATGTTAGCCAACTACGTATTTATAGCTACGCGCGGAGACGAGAAACGGACCTTCGAGCTTATCGCGACCACCGGCCGGTGGAGGTGACTGTTGTTCTGCCATCTTGTCGGTCTGTAGTGTCGATTTCGTGGTAACTTTACTATCCTACAGCAAACGCGATGCCTAGTTAGTAAGTTAGTAAACATGGGCTTTAGACGATAATGTTATAAGACGTATGGATTGTTGGGGGCTAGAGTTAATACACGGTGAACATACGTAAGTCGAAGGCTCAATAGCAAGAAAAAGGCGAAGATGGATTCCTACGCTATTTGTTATGGCAAAGTGGTTTCGGTATAAGCTCCACGATGTGATAGGTCTTGTCGTGTCGGCGTTGATGTTGCTGAATGCGTTTTGCAAGGTGGGTGGTTTATGCCCAATTGTCGCGTGTTTGGCGACTTGAGAGGTCGACTTGTAGATTATTGTAGCTATCCATTGATCATTGGTCCCTGCGGCTTGAGAATTAATTACTCCCTGTCATTATTATTCCTCCTATTGGCTAGCACTCATGCACGGACCACTAGTACCAACAAATTTAGAGCCAAATTGTGGATCGTGGGGCTGAAGAGCCTCAAGCGGGATGTTTGAATCACGTGATGATAAAAGATTTCTATCTCTGATACGCGATTTTGCAACTTTTTTTTCTGCCAATTTTTTTATAGGTTTCCATCACAGGTATCCTTCAACCATTCTTTAGGCGCTGCTAAGTGACCTCGTTTATAAGTCAAGGAACTAAAACACGCTCAACCTTGTTGTTTCTATTATTTTTAATGTCCCTATAGCCGTACTAGATACCCATACACAATAATCATCATGGATTCATCACGAATCTTCGTTAAAGGTCTGCCACCGAATCTCAACGAGGCCGACTTGCGCAAGCATTTCGCGTCCAAAGGTCACATCACAGACGTCAAGCTGATACCTCACCGAAGGATTGGATACGTTGGCTATAAGAGCCCGGAAGAAGCTACCAATGCTGTCAAATACTTCAACCGTTCCTTTGTACGGATGTCTAAAATATTTGTCGAGTTAGCAAAACCCGTTAGTACATTCAGTACAATACCAGTCAGCATCGGCTTAACACTTCTTGCAGATAGCAGACCCTTCCTTGTCTAAATTCAAAGAAAGAAGGAACAACTCAATCCCTAATACGGGAGTCTCTCAGGCGACTGTCAAACCGTCTGCGGAGTCGGAATCACAACCTGAGAACTCGAAAAAGAGGAAGCGGGATGAGGTTAACGAGTCCGACCCGAAATTACAAGAGTTTTTAAATGTTATGCAGCCTGCGAAGACTTCAGCAAGCAAGATACATGGTGTCGTTACGGAACTTGCGGATGAACCTCCCGCAAAATATGCTGCACTTGTTGAAGAGGGAGCATCTGATGACGAGTACGAGGTTGTACCAAGCCGACGAAAGAAGAGCCAGCCTGTAGAAAATGCAAAGCCGGCAGTAACAACCGTAAGCGTTGTAAACGATGGAGCAGATGGCCAGCCCCGAACAGAGCCCGATATAGTCGAAGAACCTCTTGAGGAATCGGTGCCAACTGCTACTAGTGTTATTGAGACTAAATCGGGTGTGGCTGCTACAGACGACGACTGGCTACGATCACGGACGAACAGGTTACTTGACCTGGTCGACGATGAAGATATCGTACCTACAACTGCCCCACCTGCAGACCAGCCACCTGTACCACCAGTTCAAGAGCAAGAACCAGAGGTTGTTGATGCTACTCTTGACGAGGATCAGGTTATGAAAGACCCAACGCCTCAACCAGATGAAGACGAACCTGACGCAGAAACCAAAGATAATACTCTAGACACAGTTCGTAAAACTAAGAGATTATTCGTGCGAAACCTGCCGTATTCTGCCACCGAAGACGAGCTTAGGTCATACTTTGAGCGATTCGGCGACGTCGAAGAGGTAAGCCTTTCCCAGTATTTTATTCTTAAATTTTTTTTTTCGGTTCTATGATGAACCCCAGATAGGGACAGCTGATACCAATGGTATTTGATGAGAAGCCTGGGCCAGTATTTTAGTAGATGCTTCGTGTCTGAGAACCATCCCTTCTTCATTAGCTTTTTCGTATTAGACACCTTCCATTCCTGCTAAAATGAAGATAGGTACATGTGCCGATGGAAAATCCGACCAACAATCGCGGAATTGGCTTTGTTCTGTTTGCTAGCTCAGACGATGCGACAAAAGCATTCCAAACAGATCACTCGTCTTTCCAGGGGCGAATATTGCATGTTCTCCCAGCATCAGCAAAACGTGATCACAATCTTGATGAGTTTGCACTGTCAAAGCTGCCATTGAAGCAGCAAAATATTATTAAGAAAAGAGCCAAGGCGGCAGAATCGAGATTTAACTGGAATTCACTTTTCATGAGCCAGGATGCCGTAAACACATCAGTTGCCGATCGTCTGGGAATCTCAAAGTCGGAATTGCTTGACCCAACTAGTTCTGACGCGGCTGTGAAGCAGGCGATAGCAGAGACATCGACGATTCAAGACACCAAGGCTTACTTCGTAGCCAACGGTGTCGATCTGAACGCATTCAAGTCAGGACCTCGGGGTGACACAGCCATCTTAGTCAAAAATTTCTCTTACGGCACTACAATCGAGGAGATCAGAGCTCTCTTTGAGGAACATGGTCAAGTTTTGAAAGTACTCATGCCGCCGACGGGGACGATTGCTATCGTCCAGTTCGCGCAGGCCCCTCAGGCTAAGGTTGCTTTCGCCAAGTTAGCATACCGTCGGTTTAAAGACTCGATATTATTTCTTGAGAAAGCACCGAAGAACTTGTTCGTCGGCAAAGAACCACAACCTGAAACGGTGCAAACCAGCAAAGAGCCCAGTGCTGTCCAGAAGTTGTCTGGGTCTGAGCTACTAGAACAGGAAACCCAAGAACCTATTGAGTCAAGCTCGCTATTTGTGAAGAACCTCCATTGGGATACCACTACCGAGGAGCTTGCAAACGAGTTTAAGCATCTTGAAGGATTCAGGTCGGCACAGGTGAAGACGAAGAAAGATCCCAAGAAGCCTGGTCAAGTGCTTAGCATGGGATTCGGTTTTGTTTCATTTTCCGATAAGAAGACCGCCGAGGCAGGCTTAAAGGTTATGGACGGCTATGTTCTCAGAGCACACAAGCTTCAGGTTAGGGCTTCGCATCGCGGACGTGACGCAGCTGAGGAGCGAAGACAGGAGGACAATGCGAAGAAGGCCGCAAATCAAAGAACAAAGATTGTGATAAAGAACGTCCCCTTCCAAGCTAACAAAAAGGATATCCGGATGCTCCTAAGCACGTATGGCCAGCTCAAATCAGTCCGTATACCGAAGAAATTTAATTCTACTAGTAAAGGGTTTGCCTTTGCCGAGTTCGTCTCGCCGAAGGAGGCAGAGTCGGCGCTGCTTGCCCTGCAGGATACTCATCTATTGGGCCGCAGACTCATCCTTCAATACGCAGAAGCAGAAGCAATTGATCCTGAAGAAGAGATCGCAAAGATGCAAAGGAAAGTTGGCGGCCAAGCTAGTAAAATGGCCCTGCAACAACTTACAGGGGCAGGCCGTAAACGGGTGAACCTAGGAGGTGACGAAGACGAAGGGGAGATCTAACGAGTAATTAAATGTGTCTATGTTTCCGATTTCGTGCCTGGCTATACCTTTGGGGCTCTGGAGGGGTGCAGGCATTGCCACGTTGGGAGCTAGGGACAATGGTTCATTGCGTTATCCCTTGTCAGGGAGAGCCGCCCATTGCTGGATCTGGGGCCACTTCCTTATCCCAGGGATTTGGCATCACAACTAGCTTGCAGATTTATCCCCTCATTCAAGTGGCTTTTGTAACCCCTCCCGACTGAATCTCTATCGGTCCTAGACTTGATGATCCTAGATGGGTATGCTAATCAAAACACATTCCGCCCCGCAAAGTTCACCACAACCGCCCCATCACTACCGGCCCGAGACTGGTTAGAGAGCTACAGAATAGGAAATTAAAACATTCCCGTGGTGAGTCTATTGCAGCTATTCCTTATCATCTCGATACGATTCTCCTTGCGTGCCAGCAGCGTGCGACTCTTGTCAAAGACGTCACCTGCTTATCTCGACCTCATTGGTCGTGGAGCCTGTACTATTCGCAGCATATTCTTGAAGGCGCCCTTGGAACCTCCTAGTGGGTGTTTCTAGGGTCTCATGCACCTTCAGGCACCTTTATTGATATCCTCCTAGATAGCCAAATAGTGGAAGTCGAATGAATGTAATCTCTATAAGATATGGTGATCATCTCTTCCATACCAACACTTCAACACTCAAGTCCAGGAAAACTATCTCTAGTCGTAATAGTAATGGGCATTCTCTTTGCCGCTGCCATTCCTTTAAACATATCTTAATTCTGCCTCCCAGCGTTCTTGAGCTCTCTCCAAGCATTCTCTAGAATTCTCGCTCTTTTTACAACACATTCTTTTGGTCTTTCGTCATACACATCCAAATGGATCACCCACAACCTGTCCTGCCCTCTCAGAGATATTCCCCCGTATCAGACTACGCATACGAGACGGATCACGAACTAATGCCGATGACACGACAGCCTCTTGGTGAATCTACGGGCAACGTTCAACCACATAATCTCGCTGCTCTGGCGCTGTGTAATCACTCCTTATCACCACCTCTGCGTTCTATACCAACACCACCTATAGTCCCAACACAGGCTTTGACCTCGACCTATGGGACAAGCCTTCGAGGCGGACGTTCTTTACACCGAGATGTATCATTACGAGAGTCACCAATGGGTTATCCAAGGGGCAGCAAGAACCCCATCTACGCTTATAAGCACTTCGCCGATTATCGTAATAAAGTAATGCAAAAGGAGCTCGAGAAGGAACAACCGATATGGCCATTATGGTTGGAGGATGCTTTCCTCGACGGTAAGCAATACTGGCCTTGCAGTTCTAGAAACGGTTTATGCTAACTCTCGAAAGCTCTTCTTTTAATCCCACAGATGGGCCGGAAAAAGTTCAGCTCAAAGACTATCCTATACGGGCGGAATATGCTCATTACAGAATATCTATGGATCTACCACTGGCTTCTACATCCCCCACAGAATGGAGAATCCATCCCAAACAGGCAGCTGAGGGAGAAGGATGCAAACGGAAAACCTCATCCTATGTATAGGGGACGAAAGCAAGTATCGAGCCACATCCAAGTTTTGAAGGGGTTCTTCGCAACCTTGGTAACTTGTGAGTATACTTGAAACTATCGAGTGCTAAGATAACTAATACTATATCCAAGTCCACTTTATCTTTCCAAGTAAGAAAGATGCCAAGGAAGAGGATAGGAAATTAATAAGGGACGATGACGACACGGAATCCTTCAAGAATAACCGAGTCCTCATTTCTATAGCGGATGGCCGACTTCCCGATGAACGGCCCAACTACGAATATTTCGCTCGCCTCCTAAGTGCCGATAACGATGTCTTCCTGCGACCAAAGCAATGCTGGATCTTCGTGTCATCATCTCAAGTCACCCTCAAAGAGAAGCATGTCAAGATGGATGACGGCACTACGAAGAAGCAAGTCACAGGATGTACACCCAGCGGACACTGGCTCGGGGAGTCAGACTACCCTCACCTCAAGCTCAACGATGGTAAAGATTACAAGGACCTGCCGCGAAACGGGGACCAGCCGACCGTACTTCTACACGAATACACAAGGCCATTGGCACAAAAGGAATCATCATCTATCAAGGACATCTCCAACCGGTGGGATGTTCAGTTCCCGGAGCTGAGGGAGAAGCTCCTTGCTGCACTTGACGACACGCACCCGTCGGATGAGAGGACATCACGCTGCGTGGTGGGACCTTGCGATACTTTTCAATTCGAAGTAACGCTAGATCTACACGCAACATCCAAGTTTCCCGATGGATCTGAGCTCAATGGTATGGTAGAGCTCTCGATTAACCGACCTGAACTACATAACCACAGCTGGAGATCCGTGACTTCGGTTGTGAAGCCGGACGAGTTGCATATCTCCGGGTCGGAACCTGATTTCTGGGACCGCAGCAACCCCGTCGAAGTCATCGTCTCACACCGTGTCGGGTGTAACGGTGTAGGGCGATGTGATTGCGGATCTCGTGGGACTCGCGATACCATCGGCGTTCCGTTCCCGGCTGCTAGCTGGGCGAATACCTTTATCAAATTGGCACCGTACGTGACCGCGGAACGGGAGCGTCGAGAACGTCGAGGGCGCGAGCAGGACTTAAATAGAGGATCCCGGCCTTCTCGGGCAGAGCGTGAAAACGCAAGGATGAAGAAGGAAGACAGCGCGTCAGAGAAGGACGGCGCCAAGATGCCGACTCCTAAAGAACTCTTGTCCCAGGTGGCTATGTATCAAGAGATTTGGTCTACGCCTAATAACGGCCCTAGTAGCGACAGTGAGGGTGGGAAGCGCGGATGGACGCGGCGTGCAGTCATACTATGGACTTTCGCCCCCGTACGCGACCACACGGATGAGAAGGGAAAGACAACTACTATTGCCGCCGGTACTAATTGGAGGTTCCTAACCAAGGTTGACCCGACCTCGGAATACCATCAGCAGCGTGCATACATGACGAACTCCCCCTCCGTCTCCCGCGACAACGTCATGTCGCCTAATCCAGGCTACCAAGCCCACCTCAACGCTTCCATGCACGAGAACCTGAGCGCGGCGTACGATACTGCGCCTGTTCTGCCGTCAAATACACTACCAAGCCAGCATCACCAACACGCCCAACACGTTACACATCATCACAGCCATCACCATAATCATAATCATATCCCTCCTGGCCTAGATCTCCTAGAAGGCTTCGACAACGGCCTTGTCACACCTCCCCCCACAGCGTCATTAACGGGTGGATATCCGCATAGCTTCGATGATAACGGTAGCGTAGACTCAGCGCTTCATCATCAGTTAAGCTACATATCTGACAGCACAAGCGGCGCCGGTACCAACACTATCCCTGCTGAAATAACTGGTGGCAGCAGCCATAACGGCAGCACCAGCGGCACAGATGCCTTCCTATCTGGCCTCGGTGTACCAGTATCCTCTTACGACGATAACTGGGCAGTTCCAGCACAAAGCAGCGGTCTAAGCCTCGATACCACCGGCTGGGGCGTCGGCGTAAGCTGGGCCGATCCAACGGGCGGTCTCACCAGCACAACTACGAGCGCATCAGTAAGCGAACCGCTATGGGCTAGTTCCCTCCCCGGCACCCTCAGCGGACATAACTCGCGCGACACGAGCTTCAGCGGCGCGAGTACCTCGCACTGGGCTGAGGACAAAGAAGCCTCTCTATGGGCGAGCAAGACAGAGCATCCTCACCCTCATTCTCATTCTCATCAGTACACCACCACGCAACAGCATCAAGACCCGTGGGCGACGTGGCAGCCCACGGGCGCGGAGCATTCCGCTTGGAACATGGATGCGCAGGACTTCGGGCTAGATCTGGGAGTAGGGGCTACGAATAGTGGCTCTGGGCTCGCACATACGCATATGCGGTCGCACCCGCAGATCGCCGGGCGTAAGCGCTCGCGCGCGGATAGCGTCGATGCCGGCGCGGATGGGAGCGATACTGTGTATCCTGCGCACTCGATGCGCAAGTTGTCGCATCCGACTGCGCTTCCTGGTAGTCGTGGTCAGGGTCATGGCCAGACGGGGCAGAACGCGCCTACGGCTGTAATGGACGATGGGCAGGGGTTCTTGTAGAGCGGCGGCATCTGTCGTGATCTACATTTTCTTATCTGAATTCTACTGGCGACCTACGATCTACACTATAATCCACAATTTTCGGCGTCATATTACGGAGTCTAATCTGGGTTGGGATGTCGAGTCCATCATGTACTTGTAATATATACTCGAAGGCGTTCCACATGGGTTTCTCTCTCGGCCTTTAATCAAGCGCCGGTTGCTTACTAGGGGAAATTAGGATACGGGATGGGGCGGCGGCAAAGGTTTTTGTGTTTAATTGGTATTTCTTCGTGGATAGCGTTTGTATCATATCAAATTCACAGTTATGAAGTCCAGATACTTGCTTACCCCCTTTTTTTATAAGCATACATACATGTAATATATGTATTGCTCGAAGAATTTCTGGTTACTATAATATGATTTACTGCAATGTCATTTGGCTGAGATGGACGACTTTTTTTCTCTTAATACTGTTATCACGACGCCATGGTATCACAACGTAGGACAGCTTTCCGGACATTGGAATGAGCTAAACGTTGGTGGAGTAGCAAGTTTCCACGGCGGAAGATCTCGAATCTAACAAGAGCAGAGCTAAATAGTTAAATATCCGAACCCGAGCGGCATTCTGGAAACAACGGACCCAAAGAGATGTCGTGTTTCAAGAGCGAACGTTTGGCAGGGGAACTTTCTGAAGGTCTTGGCGAGCGATAACTCTCGATTGGGAATCAGTTTCCCTACGATGCTACCGCGCGGATCGACAGCAGGGAAGCCCCCTTGTTCTTATGGCTAAAAATGGGCGAATAGATGATCGGCTTAACTAGCAAGGGTATTGTGTGGCGATTAAACAACGATTACTGAACGATTGTGAAACAGTGGTGGTCCGGAGGTGCGAAGAAATTTGAAAAAGTAGTTGTCGGCTTACTTGACTGCACGGTGAGTACCTATCCCGTCCGCCACGCTCAAAAGACCGAAAGTCTGGCCCAATCCTTCTTATGAACGGGGGTAGCACGAGAGCAGATATTATCGTTGAGATTAATGCATTGAGAAAGCGAGATTTGTAAGTTACCTAGCAGCATGGAATATAATGGCGCTATCGTGTGTCTGGACTTGAAGGCGGCAAAGAGTCCATTTAATATCCTGAGCGTTTTTTAATATGAGCTTTTAATATGAGAAGTAATAACTAATTTTAAGCTTATCTCGACCGAAGAATAATATCGGTATCAGAATTTGCCTTATGCGGCGCTTAACGTGTTGCACGAACGGGGAACGGGATGGTTGAGTGGGTATTCCCTCTTTCGACGATCATTCCGGCTTGGGTATCTCCTGTAATTTTCGAGGTACGGCGCGTAACAACGGGAACACGAGATGGGTCGCCAAAACAATTATAGAGGTTTACGGGTCATCGCTGGGTAAAAAAAATATGAGGGCTGCTCAAAAGCCTTTTGTCGAGGCGGCGGCAAAGTAGCCAACCAAGTCGACCAAGATAAGAAGGGTCGCGACGTTCATGATACCGGAAGCCACCGTCATTTCGCGTGGCCTCGAGCAACGGTCTCTCAAATAATGATGAAGGTAAGGCATTTTAGCTAGGCCACAGAGATAGGCCAGGAAAAGAGAAACAAGAAACGGTTGGCTTGCCGCCACAGCTTGGCAGATTTGTAGCCTCTCGATGAGATGAAGTTCTGTTGCGTTTTGTTGCGTTTCGTCGCGAACTGGGGTGGGCATCGGCACTTGATTGGTCACGATGCAAAGAATTAAGAAGAATGGAACGACAAGACGGAAGATTATCCACAGACAATGTGGGGAAATCTGAACCAAAGGCGCTACGAGATGAGGTAATTCTACATTACACTAGACACATTAGAACCTCATAGGTCACTTTTATGAGTTGCAGCAGCAAAAAAATACATATGTTAATCGTTATCGGCAAAGGTACCTGCATACACTAAACCCTAATCAGATAGATCCCGCTATGCAGTGTCACGTACCTGGTTACATAAGGTTAAGATATACATACGTACATATGTACCCCTGCCCCGTCCAACCCCAAAACCCAACCTTACCATCCACATGTTTATATGTGGGATACGTACCTAACCTAGTCGAATAATTGCATTACAAGGTGAAGGTATAGAAAAAATGCCCATCCCATCTACAGGCGTGCATGAACCCCTATCCTAGACAGAATAGCCGCTACGAATAATGTTGACCTATCGTGTATCCCGCACTATTCTACTAGATACAGACAAAACGCTCCATGCTCCCAACCTAACCCGAGAACTTGGCCCTCATCATGAGGCCGGGACTCTAACATGTCAAGATGGGGCTAGAGAAGTAGGCGGTAGTCTTTATATGATTATTTCACCCGGTAAGAGCCGCTGTTTTGTTGCAGAGAATTAAAATCCCGTGTTCTGTTCTTGCATGAGACTTGCATGATACTTTGTACGAGTCCATACTAGATTTCTTTTACTTCTCCCAATGTCGAGTAAACCCACAAATACCACAGATTTAGGTCATCAGGTATAATATTCTACAGGCATCCAACTCATTTTTACTTTACCTCACAGGTACATAGATTTACGTGTGTGGGGCCACCCGTTTGGAAGTACCTGGTTGTTAAGTCGTTTGGAATCGACGCGAGTCAACTGAGAACTCACACCTTATCTACCAAAAATCAACCCATAGACTTGGTGAACAGTTCGTCTATCAGCTTTAGCACTTGGTTGTTGTGGTGAATTTTTATTCGCAATCACTCGCGTTGTTCACCTTGCACCATACACACAACTTCTCATTCCGCATCACGCACCCTCCGACCTTCACACCTCACCAACTTTACAACAACCAAGTCACGACCACTTTGTTCAAGAACAATCTTGGAGAAACAATCCGCCTTGTCTCGTCTTTATTTATTGTTCAACAACGAGGCCTATTGTTCTTTTCCTTTGGTCTTATTATTCTCGCCTCCCACAAAGGATATAATTCTGCCTATTTCTCTTACTTACCAGGGCAACCCATCTACATCCACCACGCCGCGTCGTATTCATTCGTCTGTTATTTTTCACTTCTTCGCGCAAGTCGCAAGTCACCTTTCTTCTTTCTATCTTCGAGAACAAACTATTTTCGTACTATTTACACCTTCCTTGTTCATCGAACAATCCCTTTCAACCTCGCAGACAATAGAGGAACACATCTAAGACACCTTTTCTCCCCTCGAGGGCCTACTTCTTCTAGTTATATCTCTTTTCTCGCAGGCGAGACAATCAAGTCAACATCAGACGACAAAAGTTACCTAAAACTGTCTTAACTTACTTCGAGATGCCTCTTCACAACATTTCCAAAGCGATTTCGCTTACACTTCTCGCGGCCTCGGCCTTTGTTGATGCCCACTCCTGGGTCGAACAGGTCCGCAAGATCGACTCTACAGGTGCCTTCACAGATCCCGTCGGTTACCCCTTCGCATTCATGAACCGTTCAGCTCTCGGTTTCAACGACCAGTTAGTCCAGAACAAGATCTTAGATACAACATCTAACCCTCCCGTGTGCAAACCCAAGGCCGGTGCTTATGACCATCTGGATCGACTCACCGCAGCTCCTGGAGACCATATCGCCCTCCTCTACCAGGAGAATGGACACGTCACTCAGCCTAATCTTACACCGCGTCCCTACCGTGATGGACTCGTCAGCATCTACGGTACCCTCCAGCATGAGGACTCAGATGGTATTAATGATGTTCTGGGCGCATGGACTGCCGATGGTAAGGGCGGTAACGGCAAAGGTAAACTTCTAGGAACCCATTTCTACGATGATGGTCAATGTTATCAGAACGCCGGTCACAACTTCGCTATCCCCATCTACGCCACACGTTACAAGGAATACGGCCTAGAAGAGTTGTACTGCCAGACAGACTTCCAACTCCCAGAGGATCTCCCTAACGAGGGGACCTACACGGTCATGTGGGTTTGGGATTGGCCTCTCATCACGTCCGACACTACGAACGTCACCGAGATCTACACATCGTGTGCCGAGATCCAACTTGAGGCCCCTAAGGGCGGTAATAATGCCCAGGTTAAGTTCTCAGAGAGCAATCCCATCAACAAGGCGGCCATCAAGTCCCAGCTTCAGACGCAGTTTGAGGCTACCGGTTTGGGAATCGGAACCAATCCCCCAGCTGCACCTACCGAGACAACAGCTACCTCCGTGGACAACAGCAGCCCAACCTCAGAGCCTGCAACTTCGGTAGAAACTTCCACATCGAAGAAGCATCATCACAGTGGAGTCAAGACCGTCACCGTTACCGCGGATGCTCATACAACGACCAAGTGGCAAACAGTCACCATTGGTGGTGGTGCTGGAACCACCACCGGACGATCTGAGTCGTATGCAACCATCAGTCCTACCTTGGCCCAGAACGTCTCTACTTCAGCAAAGCAAGCCGCGCCTACTTCCATCGTGCCCGTCACCTCGATCTCCAAGTTCATGAAGCCACGGGCAACGGGACAGGCGCGACGAAACATCAGCTACGCATGAAGGAGAAGACCTCAATTATTCGAGGACTGTATAACCGGCATTCAACTAGTTTTGTTTCCTTAATGATACCCCCTCATTCGGCATTTCTTATTAGGGTTTCTTCACTTGCACATATTTTTCCATATTTTCTTCTGTTCGTGCATGCATTCATACGCACCTAACGTCTGCGCCTGGCCGCGCCTTACGACACGACCGCATACGAGAACAGGATACCTTTTTCTTAGTCATAGAATGAAAATGAAAGGGGATTGGCATCGCATCACTCGTTCGGAAAGCATAGCATTGGCGGTCGTTACTCGGAACGAGAGCAGGGGGCATTTTGTATTACCGGATCAACTCGCGAAGCAGTGGGGGTATACGGAACATGGCAGATAGTTTGTCGCCTGATGACTGGCATCTATCCTAGGGTTAGGATTGGAAATACCCCGAAAGTCGGCTCTTAGGTTAGGTCGGATGGACGGACAGGAAGGCGTTTAAGGATAAGGAGGGACACCGGGGGAATGTTACCGGAAGGGAGGGGAAGGGCTTACACAAAATGCATGCATGGAACACGGATCAATCGCATTTTCACGGAATAGGAGTCATTTCATTTGTGTATTACGACAGTAGCTAGATTTACTGCAATGAATTCAGCCGGTCGTTAATATTCATTGGCTTTAGTGAGACCTCGTGATATATCGTGGACTAATTCTCAGGTGTACCAGACCCCTAAGAGATAATGTAATGCAGTAATCTTTCGAGCTCAAAGGTAGTTGAGAAGCAAGACATGAGGCTCGACTTATAAATAAATAGCCTCGCCTTTTATCCTTCTTGACTTATCAGATCTCTCGTGCCTGTCTTAGATCTCGCAGCAAGCTGAATGCAGCCCGTATGCAGGTCATTTCTTGGCAATGTACCGCATACTACATACATTCATCCATATAAAACACAGAAGAAGCGAGCCAATCACACCTAGTATGAATCCGTCCTCGCCACACAGTCGTACCCTCTAAGATATCACGCAACCCAGCCGTCCCCAGCACAAGTCATCCAGTTCACACCGACGAGACTTAGCCCGTGCTTCTCCGCAAATTCGGCAGGCTTAAAGGAGCGTCGTTGGACGAACTCCTCGCCGCCGACGTCCTCTTTTGCCAGGGACAAACCTGCTGGCTCCCGGTAGAGGAGAAAAAAATACCGGTGAGGCTTGGAGCTTTTTGATGAAGTTAATATACTAGCCTTTTTGTTACATATCTATTAATGGAAAGGATATATAGATGAATACATAAGTAAATAAATAGATAGAAGAACCACTTACTCATCCTTCGGTCCCGGCCCAAGATACTCCGTTAATACCTTCCCCTCTCCGTCCTTCCCCGAGGGCTTCAACCCACTCACAACATAGTGCCTCCAGAATGCAAACTTAGGATCATCCGGAGTTGGCGCATCAGGGTCCGTCAGGATGAATAAATACGAAGCATCTCCCTCGACGTTTGCATTTGCCCCGTGGGAGAATGAGATCCGCGGCGCCTGTTTGCACTCTCCAGCACGGAAGAAGGTCCCCAGATCAACCGCCTTATTACCAAATGAGATACCGAGTTGTGTTGTCGGCGTAAAGGCCGCCGGGATCAACGCCGATGCGGGGCCCGGGACTAGGTTGGCATGGGTAAGAGAGGATGCTAGGTTGGTGGCATGGGTGGTGAGTGACATGTTGTAGTATGTTCCTAGACTACATATAATAAAATAGCAAGAAAAAAGTAGCTTATTTCAAAGTCTATATATATAGTAAAGTTCTCGAGCAGAACATGATGATCCCGACGTTAGGTAGTATCTCCTCCGTTGTTTCTCTCCGCGCCAGCTCCACTCTACTAATGAAGAGGATGGGAGAATGCTTAGTGGTGGAATAAATACAATACAAAGCTTGGCTAGACTCGTTGCAGCTTACTGATGTGGTATAGTTTCGAATATATTTCGCCTCTATCGCTTCTCTCGCTCCCATCCTTTAGAGCCATTCGGTCTACTCGAAGCAGCTACTATCTGTGAGCCGGATGGAAGCCAATTCGGGCCAGAGACATCACACGAGGCAGATTGTAGAGCTGTTGAGAGGGCAATGCATTGTCTTACCTAAGGGCTAAACGGACAAGGCCGCCTAAATAGCCTTGTTTCTATCCTCAAATGGAAGAACCGTGCCACATTTTCTCTTTTATTCGCTTAATGTCCACAAAGCACAAAACCACTACGCCGTGAAAAATCAGTTGGTATCAAATTCTAGTTCACTCTCCGAATCGGTCAGATCGCCATATATGACCTCGCATGCGCCAGCAAGCGGCACATCCATGACGGCATCCGTTCCTTCGTTCCATATATTTTTCCAGTCGAGTTGCTTAGCTCTCTCCTCTGTAATGGGCTTCCTAGGTTCGTTCGGCCGTATCCTGCCCTTGTGGTCGATGGTAGCGATCTTAGCTGCCTCATCGACGATAGTCTCTAGCGAGGTCATAGGGAGGGTAAGTATCTCTGTATTGTATGCCGCCAGCGCAACGTAGATGTAGACTATGAGCATGACCAGAAATGACGGGATAGCCAGGGCCCACCACCGGTTAGGATAGTAGTAGATACCCAGGGCATGCAGGAACGGAGATGGCAGGTATGCCCACAGAAGATAGATGAGAAAGGTCAGAGATGAGAAGAGGTATAGGACGAAGCCGTAGTACTCGTATGTGGGAACCTTCGGGGATGCACGCGGGACCGGCTCGAGGTCGTCGTCTGAGGCATCGGGAGTGGTAGGCCGTGATGGGCGGAGTAGCGATGTTAAGGACGGAGACGGAGGTAATGGTGTTGGAGGCCGGCCGTAAAATGGAGGCGCGAAATAGTTCTGCTGTAATGGGGGAGGAGGTAAGGCCTCATCGTCGCTAGAGGATGATGCATCGGATTGGTTGTCTGAGAGGAAGTCTTCCTCGTCCGAAATGAGCGACATCTTAGCTTTATATATAACTACCTAGTTATATATTGTAGAACATGAGATCAGTTATCAATTCAGACGCTGGCTAGGTATCAACTCTCAGCTCGGGGGCAGCATCATGTTTATATGTACTCTCCGATTCGGCGTCGCAGCGGTTGAATAGTATAACTTTGCATTTCGCGTTGAAGATTCAATTTGAAGTTTAAGAAGTACCTAGGTACCGTTAAAGTGTTTTATTCAGGTACCAGGTACCTAACAATTGGAACACGCGAAGGTACAAGCAGGAAGAAGGCGGTCCACTTTCTTTACGCTTGGAGGTACATATGCATGTAAGAGGAAGGAGGTTAGGTACTTATCCACCAGCCACAGGCGCGAACCCAGGGGCTGGAGAAGCTTAGAGCTCCAACCTTCGACGCGAACCATCGAATTCCCTTCAATTCCCACTTACAACCTTGTCGGAAGACTTGTTAAATTTGTTATACAATTTGTTATAAAAATTGTTATAACCGATATCATGTCTTCTCAACAACCACTTCCAAATACACAACAGCCGCTTGACGTCTATGGTGGAGGTAAGTATACCAGCCTCCAGCCTCGTCATCTCAATTCGCCATTCTTTTCTTTACTACCTATACTAACACAAACACACTCCACCAGACGAAGTATCAGCCCTCGTCCTCGACGCCGGTTACTGCCACACACGAGCCGGTTTCGCAGGCGAAGATGTCCCCAAATCAGTCATCCCCTCCTTTTATGGCAGCGTAAAATATGGCGATGGCGAAGCTGCCACGTACCGCGAAGTCTTTGGCGACGAGTGCTTGATTCCCCGCGCCAACTTGGAGATAAAAAACTACATGTCGCGCAGCGAAAGCATAGTCGAGGACTGGGATGCCGCCACCAAAATTTGGGAGCATACCCTTATCAAGCGTCTACAACCAGAGAGGCCGACTCCGCCCAGCAAGAATGGTCTTAACGACCCAGCTGAAGACGGAGAGGGCGACGTCGCTATGGAGGATATAGAAGAGCAGGAAAAGCCCCTGGCCGAGAATCCCCTGCTTATGACCGAGGCGCCTTGGAATTCGGGTAAGGCACGGGAGAAGGCGATCGAAATTGCTATGGAGAACTGGGGTTGCCCTGCATTCTGGCTATCGAGAACGCCTGTATGTGCTGCGTTCGCCGCCGGCAAGGCATCGGCACTAGTTATCGATGTCGGTGGTGCGAACACGAGCGTTACGGCTATCCATGACGGCATGATCCTAAAGCGATCGATCCAGAAGTCTCCAATTGGAGGATTATGGTTGTCACAGCAAATCCGGACCATGTGGGAGAACAACGACCCCAAGATTGACGTCGTGCCGTCTTTTATGATCGAAAATAAGACCCCCGTAGATGCGGGAGCGCCCGCTCAGGCGAGGCTACGCAAGTTCCCTTTCGAGATTCATCCGTCCTTCCGTACCTACGAGGAGGAGCGCCTCTTGACCGAATACAAGGAATCAGTCGTCGAAGTCTGGCGAGGCCCTGGCAGATACTCTAATCCAGGTAACGAGGACCTCGTTAGGTCACAACCCGGTCGCGTGTTTGAGATGCCGAATGGGTCAAATCAGATGTGGAGAGAGCAACGGTTCAGAGTTTCGGAGGGCATGTGGGATGAAACAGCAGCATTGCCAACGGCTGATGGTGTAGCGAAAGCCCAGACTATCCCAGAGCTAATTAAGGCAGCCATTAATGCGGTTGATGTAGATCTGCGGCCTAACCTGCTGGGAAATATCGTCGTGACGGGCGGTACGAGTTTGCTCAACGGATTCGGCGACCGTCTAAACAATGAGTTAATGGCCATGTATCCGGGCATGAAAATCAAGCTGCATGCCCCCGGTCTGACTACGGAGCGACGCTTTGGTGCGTGGATTGGAGGCAGCATTCTCGCAAGCTTAGGAACTTTCCACCAGATGTGGATCTCGCGTAAGGAGTACGAAGAGAACGGCGCGGGAATTGTTGAGAAGCGATGCAAGTAGTCGTTACGGATCCCCGTTGCAAGTTCATGATAATAAAGGCGGATATCTAATCCGCTCAGGCGTCCGGAGTTCGTAGACAGCCAGGCAGGCAAGCGGGCTGGGGCTCCTTGTATTTTCTACAGGGACATAAAATTAGGACTAGGAAATAACTTTCCATGAAGATCAAATCAAAATAGATAATTCTCTATGCTACTTTTGGTTCACTAGATAGATGCACAAGTGATCCCGCGACGCCTCCCCGCCCGCCCCCTAAACCCCTAACCCCTTTTATTTTTGTCCCCGTTGCGTGTATCACCACCCGTTCCATTTCGGCCAGACATCAATAACCTCGTCCTCGCGCCCTACATTCCTAGAATCTACAATTAAGTAGTAAGCATGTCCCGCACTCGCAATGCACGAGTGATTCGGCCAAATCCTCACGCGCTGGCCCACGCTCAACGCAGCCTCATCCTCCTTCCGCCCAACCCACCGTAACACCCCGTGCTCCTGGCTAATCTTCGCGACCTGCCATCCTCCATGAACTTCGGGGAAATCCGCGCCCGGCACGGGTTGGGAGTTGGCTAGCGCCCCCCACGGCATCACTAGTCCCCACGCTGAGTACCGCTTCCCATCTGGCTCCTGGCATGGCTCACGGCCTAGCGCGATGCTGCCTGCGTTTACTACGGCTTCGGTTGCGTTGTTTGGCCCGCGCGCGGGATACACCGATGCTACGTCCGCGAGGATGCTGATCCCGATCATGCTGCTGTTGAGCAGGGAGAGGTCGCGCGCGTGCGCGGCTAGTTGTTGGATGTCGAGGGTGGGGTACACGCCCGCGTGGACTTCGAGCGCGAAGGAAGAGGCTTTGAGGGTTTTGAGGAGGGCTTTGAGGTGTTGGGTTGGGACGGTGGTTAGGATGTCTGCGCCATTGGTGTTGCCATTGACGCCGCTCGTGTCGTGGCCGTTGGAAGCGCTGTCTGTGGACGCTAGATCTGGGTGTTGGATTGTAGTTGCTGTGGGGGTTGCGCCGACGGAGAGAACTAGAGGGTCTTTGCCCGGTGCCCGCTTATCGCGGACAACTTCGGCTACCTGCTTTAGCGCCTCGAATTCAGCTCCCAGGATGCCCATAGCCTCCCAGTCCTTGCGCGCGGCGTACGAGTGCCCGGCATGGCAGTATACGCCTAGTAGGACTGAGGATCCGGCTTCTTCTGAGGCGAGTAGCGCGTCGATTAGGGCGTTGCTTGCGGGGCTGCCGGGGATGATGCCCGCGCGGTTGGTTCCTACGTTAACTTTAAGGAAGACTAGAGGGGGGTTGCCGCCGGATTTAGAGGCCAAGGATGCTAGGAGAGGTACTTGGTCCACGTGGTCGATCATAACTGATAAAGCGCCGGCGCCGAGCTCCGCAGACACGCAGGCGAGCCGGTCGAGACATGATGCGTAGAGGGGGAATGAGTAGAGGACCTGTGTATATGATAGGGGTTAGAAGACCCGAGGAATCGGAACGGGTGTAAGAGGCTTAGGGGGAGGGCGTCTGCTCACGTTAATCTTTCGCCCTTTGTCCCGGTACTCTTTTAGTAGGGGTACAAGCTTCTCCGCTTCGATAATCGTGGAGACTATTAGGTTTACCGGGCCAGAGCTCTTGTCTCCTACCTGAAGTCTCGTGAGCTCCTCAGTCTGAGAGTAACTTAGTTAGCCCGGTGTCTTTTTCTCTATAGTCGGTATTCCTAACACTCCGAAATTAAGAATCATACTTTGTGGGTTTTTATATGCGCTCGCCAGCTAAGTTGCAGCCGCTCAGCAGCGTCGAGCATCAAATTGCAGTTTGCCTCGATCTTGGCTAGATCCAATATTGCAGTTGGCGTGATAACCTCGTTGAGGCTCTTACCCACGAACTGGGCACGAAGAAGATCCTTGTTTACTTGCACCGCCGCCATTGTGATGATCCCCTTGCTTTAATACGTTCAGGCTTGCTTCCTATTAGTTACCTAACGCTAGTTGTCACATAGATCCCACGAACTCGGTATTGGGTCGGTTCTGGTGGATAATGGCTTGCTGATCTAATTGTTGTCAAAATTATTCCTGGTAAGCTCGACATAGGTAGGGATAGTTATAATACTGGAGTAGGTTTTAGGTTCACTTATACCCGGTGCCTTACATAGTAGAGTTAGGACTAGGAATACGCCGAAGGGCGCTTTGTCGACTCGTGACCCACTGACCGCTAGATAAGTTCGGTATACTAACTTGGAGCTAGTTGGGCTGTCATGCACCACGACGAAACCACCTGCATCGTAAGTGTGGTTCACGATGTAACGACTCCTACATGAATGGGTTCGTACGTTGCGTCATGCTGGATAGGCTGTCAAGTTAAAACATGTTCGTGCGTAGAGTTAAGACCGAGTGATCAATTGCTGCAGACGGTAACGAAGACGGTGTCTCAACTTTTGCTTTTTTACTTTCCGTTACGCCATCGCCAAGATAATACACGTTTCTCTTACACAGCCATGATGGAAACTGCTTGCGTAGACGAAAATAGCTGAATTAAAGAAATATACTACGTAGCTTAACTCGTGTTCCACCTGTTCGGGTCCAAGCATGCAAGCATGTAAGTGCGGTAGTCGTACGCTTATCCGGGCTAAAAGAACGAAGCTTTTTGGTGCCTCAATGTCATCCCCTAGCGTGACATTCGGATCCGCACATACTCACATACATAGAAATCATGGGGTTAAATCCGATCGCGGAGCCGAGTGGGAATTAGCATCCAATTATTATGTTACGGATCATCGTCTTAGAATGTTGGTTATGATAAGGGGTAAGCCATAGGTTCATATTTTCAAGAGATTGTCTAGTTACCTTAACTAGGAAGATTATGGTTACATAATTCTATCCTTATGTATGACTTGTTATAGCTTAACAGTTGACATCCTAATATAAGACTCTGTACACTATATCCTGGGACTATTAGAATAACCGTTGTATGTAATCATACAGAAGCTAGTAATAAGGGGCAAAGATATTGAACTTGAATATAGGGAAACTAAAACAAGAACCGAGTTATTCGAATCCCGGCACAACTCTTACTAGAAACCCCAACGTAGTAATACCATCTTAAATATTGTTGGGTTCTGCCAATACGTGGTTGATAGTGATTTGGTACCAGTACTCCCCCGTTCACATGACTCCGGTAAGCTACAGCGAAGCCT